CATGTGGGGTCCACCCCATATGAGAGGGTGGACACCCTATGTACAAGAAATTATGTACAAGTAGCATAGTACATATGAGTTTGTATACTTGATGTACTGAAAGTGTCGTGTCAAGAAATTTAAGGGACGGTCGGCTTCACTTCGGTCATAGTACTAAAAATTATGAAAGCTGAAGTCGATTTATGATGGAAAAATAAAGCTGCCCAAAAACTTAGTTAGACTGGTTTTAGAGGCGCCAAATTTATGAATGCCAGGACGAGAGCAATAACTGTAACTGCAGTTTTGTACATTTTTTAGCAGAAAATTGCAGTGAAGGTCCCAAATTTTTCATTTTGCTGCAGAACACACCTTAACCTTTCATTTATGTGGTCTAAGTCCCAAACCTTTAACTTCCATTGTAGCTGGAGCCCATTTAACAGATTACATCCATCTATCCATTAGTCAACCCTTGAATTAAATGTTTGACTCCAATTAACAAATTAAATTATGGATAAAATGGTAAATATTCTATCGCAGGAAAATTCCAATTTTCAAAATTGAAAACAGCCCATAAATCAAACACTCCCCAATCAAAACACTGCTTGAACTTTGCCAAAGAAATTGCCACCATCACGGCTGCCTTACCAGCCGAGTACCCATTGGAAGTTTTAGGCAATATATGTTAATCCTTTTTTGTATTTATCTTGGTGCATATGTGTTTTTCTTTTAATGACAAGTGGTGCTGAAAGATGTTAAATAATTTGATTGCATTCTATAATAGTTTCTCGTGTCTTCCCACTAAGATTTCCCCCCACTTATTACAGGGGGTCAACTGGCCCCATGTAACGTACGGGGCTCGTGTGGCACCGTACGTGTAGCTTTGTTCTTCGTATTATGATTTCTCTTACCATGTTGTGGGTGTATTTTCTTCGTATTATGATTTCTCTTATCATGTTGTGGGTGTATTTACAAATGAGTATTGATGGATTTGTTTGAATTGATGGTTTTCTTGATTTCAATGAGGATTTTCTTACCATGTTGTCGGTGTATTTACAAATGAGCATTGATGGATTTGTTTGAATTGAATGATGGTTTTCTTGATTTCAATGAGTATTTCTTACCTGGAGCTTGTTTGGAAGAGATTTTTGGGGGAAGAATTGATTTTGAATAGTGATATGATGGGAAATGTGTGGTTGAAAAAGAAGAAAAAATTATTGATGTGATGGAAAATATTATTTTATTGAAAAATGTGTGGTTGAAAATGAGAATTGATTTATT